ATCCGCTAAAGCTCGTGACTGCATGCTTTGAGGAGATAAGCCAGTTCCTTTTAATATCCACTGATTCTTATTCTGATACAAGAACAAAATAACTTCATTAGTATTTTAAGAACATTGTTCCTGACTTAGAGAAGTCATAATCAATTCAGTAATGTTTGTCTGAATCTTTAACATCTCCTTTGCTTTTCTCTATCTGTGTAGAAGTAGTAATGCTCCTCTTCCTCACAGAGGTGGCTTGGGAACACTGGCTCAAGAGTGTGAAGTGCTGAGTTATTGAAGTTAGTGGATGCATGTAAATAGGTTATGATGAGAAATGTGGAAGCAAGTGCATTATTAAATTTATACAGGGCTAACAGCGTAATCAAATTAGCCTTTGCACTTTCTCCTGTGCTCCACTTTCTGCATTAGAAAATCCCCATAAATCTCTGCAAAGCCATTTCATTTGTTCCCTTTAATGCTCTCCTCTGGTGTGATGCAAAGAAACACCTCAATACTCGCTAAGTAGCGGGTGAGCTGCAAGGAATGCCCGCTGTATCTGCTGCTCCTCTTGGTGCTCACAAGTGTATACTTCCATATCTGACTTGGATTATTTTGCTGATCAGTCTAATCCAGATTGGCATGTGAAGTGATATACATTGAGCCCTCTGGGCTAGGGAATATCCCTTTGCCTGCAGATAGACAGTGGTTTGTTAACACCTGAAATATGGCTGCATGAGGGGTCACTTTAAGGCAGTGAGAGGGGAGCAGTGACACAGCATTTGCAGAGGGGAGAGTGTGCTGCCAGGTCACTGGCTTTTGGAAGAACTGTTATCAGGACTGAGCACTGGTTATGAAACACTTCAAAATAAAATACCAGGCTGAAATGTCATGCTTTCTCCAAACCTTTTTTGACTGAACCAACTAATCACATGTTTTTCATATGTATTTTCACGGGTTTGGATCTAATTTCAGGCTGTAAATGAAGAGAGCAGATTTTCCTTAGTGCACAGTTGCCAATAGCTCCTGTGTTTTGTGGGGGTGGCAAAAGATAAATTGGTGCTGAGACCATACAAGTGGCTGGGTTGTGAACTTGCACAGGCAATGCTTTATTTACCACTTGCTCATTTTTCTTCATGCAAATAGCAATTTGTTGGTTAACATCTTTCTCCGCACTGCAGTATGAAGATTTCAGCAGCCCGAGGGGCGCAATCACAGACATACCTCCTCTGGCCAAGGGGTGGCCCACCTGCACTGGCTGTTTAACGCTCCTGTCCCTGCTGGCTCTTGGTACAGATTGGTCTGTTGTCCACTGGGGCTCTGATTATTACTTTCTGCAGCCCTATACAGGCTGATGTGGTGTGTGTTGAACAACAGCCATTTTGTGTTCAAATTGTAGTTGCATTCATGGTACTAATCCAAATATATCTACTATGCAAAGCTGCTTAGCTCCTGGATTGCTTTTCCTTTTAATATGCATTTAGTTTTTGAACAGAAGGTAATTCTTCTGTTTCAAAGGGCTTGTGGGGAAAAACAAAAAAGGAATTACTAAATTTCATTAGGGTGTTCCTTAAAGGTGTCATCTCTGACTCTTGAAAGAAAAGGACTTTTCAAAGGAAAATGGAAATGCTTATATGCCTAACTAATTAAACAGTTCGTTGCATTAGAGTGGGGCTTCTATTCCATTATTGCAATGAAGACATGGCTTTAGTGGGACTGTTTACACTTAAAGTATGAAATTGAATCTTTTCGTAGATGGAAGCCCTATTGAATATGGAGATGCAATAAGTATTATGCCCTTACACTTCAGTAAAGGATAATGATACAGGGAATGGGTTTGGTTGGCAGTTTTTGGTTGCTGAAATCATCTGAAGGATAGACTCATTTATTGTTCAAGTGTATCCTGTTGATGATAGGATAAACAGCACAATAACGAAATGAATTGGCAATGTAGAACTAGGAGCCAGTCAGAATACAGAAATTATACCAACGGAGCTACCTCCACAGGAGAGGAATTAAACCTGGGGAAAGCTTTTGCATATCTAAGTGAAATAATCTGAAATGCACTAACTCAAAACATGTTTGGTTTAATAGTTTTAAATATGTGTAATTGCTGACAGCAAATTAGATATGAAGTGGCAAGTAACATGGGACAAAGCTGTCGTTTCAGTTTCAGACAGTATATGCAAAAGTATTTTACGGACAGTTGTTTATTATGGATTTAGTATGATTACACTTCTGGGTAAAATGTTATGATGGAGATGCTGGAAAATTTGGAGGTAGTTTGTAGCATAACAGTATTACTACCACTCTATAGGAATGACTCATGAGGAAAAGGATGAGATACAGACCTTAACTGAGTGATGATTAAGAGAGAATGATGTTTGCATAGGTGAAAAGGCACAAATGTGAGGGGCAGAAAAGAATTAATGAGATGCAGGAAGGAAAATTTGAAGCTAACACAAAATACAGGCTGAATATGGGGAGAAATGGCATGACCCTCAGATGGTTTAGGTTCCTGAATAGTTTGTGACCAACACTTGTGATTTTTATAGTGAATTTGCTCAAAACAATAGAAGATATGCTCTTCAGTGGGAGATAGGAAGGGATCCCATCAGATTGTCCAGTTTCTCTCTGATTACCCATCAAGGCTACGAGGAATGCCACAGCACTTTGTTAAAATTTCTGTCCTCTCTTTAAGAGCCTGCTGGGCGCACTGATGAGGCAAAAGGCAGGAGGGAGTTGCCTGCTGCAGATAACTAATAATATTGGTGGCAAAACCAGGAGGAGAGTTTTAGAAGACTGAGTCCCCACCAAATAGGATCCACTAGATAGTGCATAAAATTGCAATACCCTCCATTTGGGAATAAGGCAATAACCCTTTTATAAGGCTGAATTAATTTTTTTTATCTGTATGATGTCCAGGGAGGTGAGGTAGGGAGGCTCTTCCCGTGCCACAGTCAGGGTGGAGAACAAAACAAATGTCGTGGACTAGGAGCTGGTTTCCTGCAGGGAAAAAAAAGGCAGCTAGGATGAAACCTAGAGTATACTGGCTATTCTTAAATAGCTTATGAATCATATGAAGCTCATCTCAGTGTTTCCTAGAAAACTAAGATGTCATGTCATCTGAAATGCCTCTAAATTATAAGCCTGACAGTCCAAACAGCAGTTAATGACTGTCAAATAGCATCTGAAAATAGGGAGCAAACAACAATTTGACATGAGATTCTGATAAGAGCTTCAGCATTCTTGCCCCTCAGCCAGTGGAGGTGCCCACTCAGCTTGACATTTTATTTGTTCGTTGCCATCTGATCCTTTTTACTATGCTAGCAAGGTGCTGTTTCTTTTTTCTTGCATTGCCTTGATTTCTGGATGGCAAAACTTATCACTGATTTTACAGATGGCAGTTCCCTAGAAATTACTATACCACATGGAGCTACTTCCCCCCCAAAATCTGATGCAGGTCTGGGGTCAGACATTCTCAGCTGTGATTTTTTCCAGCTGAGGATCCAGCCATGTGCCTTTCCACAGGGGTGATGTGGTAGCACACCTTAATGTCTTTTGAACTATGGACTAGTAGGGTATTTGAATAGTGAAGATCTGAAGCAGTGCTATAAAGAGACATGTGCCATACTTCATTTGGCTGGCAACTTTACTGATGTACCTCAAGTAAAGCAGAGCTCTTGCCTTGTCCTCCTGGTGGCAGTAAAAAATGTTGAATAGCTTGTGGTAGAAAATTTTCTTGTGAAAGGAACAAACACTTTTGAAAATAATATGCATGAACAACTCAGGACTATGTTTCTGGAGATACTTAGGTTTGTATATGGTGCAAGGACACAGAGAAACACATTGTCCAGCTAATATGTATGAGCAATGGTGGTGTAGAGAGCTCTGTTATCTGAAGTTCCTCAGTTGAAGACTACTTGTCCTCTTCAGACTGGCTTTGGGAACTGTGTAATTTTAATTGCAACTTGTTTGGAACCCTGGTCCTGAGCCTTGCACCCTGGAGAAACAGAGAGCCTTTTACAGTTAGTCCAACTTTGGTTACTCTTTTTATAATATAAATAAACAGGAGTGAAATGAAGGAGGCAGCACCAGGTGAGCAGGCTTCTGGTAACCTTGACTTGCAGCTTGTGCACTTGCAAGGCTGGATATTGTCTTATCTGGAGGTAGTGTCCTCAAGGAAAGAACTGAGGTGGGTGAATGAATCTCCAGGAATTAATTTCTTTTGGGGACTATTTTTTATAGGGAGATGACCTGGGTGATAACTAGGATTCTAACGGGTAAAAACAGCTCAGTGAAGACTTCTCTAAGACTACTTGTGCTAGATTCAAAGCTGTGCTCTGGTGGCGAGTTGGGGTAAAATACACCTGAAAATCATCTTCTACTGGCTTCGTTACGGAGTTCCTGGCATTTTTGCTTTCCTGGCCGGCGATGAGCCTTCCTCTCAGGCTTGCCAGCCTTGTGAAACCGCGGCTTCTCCGGCTCTGAGCTGGGGGAGAGGAGGTGGGTGCGTGTGTAGGTTTTGGCACCGTGCCTCCCGGCTGCTGTGGGGAGCTCTGGTACTCGCTGTCCCCACTCAGCGGGCTCGCCGGGCTCCAGGGACGCCGCGCAGGGACAGCGCTGCCGCCCGCTGTCCCCCGTGGGCAGCGCGGGTCTGGGGGGGGGAGGATGTTTCCCTCCTCGCAGGTATCTGAGGTGCGGACCCAGCTACGCCCGGGGCTCCCTGAGGCGCGGGGGGCGCCGTACCCGAACACGATGGCGATACCGACGGGTCCGCCCCGTCGGGGGCGTCTCCGCGGCGGCGCGGGGCCACCTCCCTCATCCCCGCCCCCTGGCTCCCCAGTCGCGGCTGCGGCTGGACGGGAGAGGAGTGGAGTGTGTTCGCGCTGCCAGCCCGCCCCGTCCCGTCCCGAGCCGACCGGGCAGCGCTCGGGGGGAGCCGCCGCCCCATGCGCTGAGGGGCGGTGGGATGGGGCCGCGGGGCACCGGCGGCCGGACCGGCCGCGCCGGGGCGCCGGCTCCCGGCTGGACGTGCCTGCTGCCGCTGCTGCTGTGCACCGCGCTCCGGAGCCTGCGGGCCAGCCCCGGCAGCGAGGGTGAGCGGGGACGGGGCGTCCGGGCAGCGCCCACCCAGGAGGGTGGCTGCCCAGCGGTGTGCGGCTTCGGGCTCGGCTGACTCAGTTTTGGGACATTTTGGGGCAGGCGAAGAGGGGCTCTGGCCGCGGGAAGGCGTGTGGCACCGACCGATGGGGCTGGGGTGTCCCGGAGAAGGGAGGCGGCAGCGCCGCACGGAGCGCGGGCAGGCTGGCGCGGGTGGGTGTGCACAGGTGCCTTGGCACGGGCGCGTTTGGCAGTGGGGATTTTTTTTTTGCGGGGGGAAATGCGTGTGCGGTGTTGCATAGGTGCCTTTGCGCGGGTGGGTTGTCACGGCGGTGTTTGCTCGCGGTTTGCCCCGGGAGAGCCGCACAGGTGCATTGGCGCGGGTGGGTTTGCGGGGCTGGCACGGCAGGGCTTGGCACGGGGGAGTTTGCACGGGGCAGAGGGTCTTGCGGAGGGGAGCGGGGCCGGGGGAGGCTCCCAGTGGGGAGCCCTGCAAGCGCTGGCCGCAGTGCGCTTACTTCGTGGTTTAAAATACACGTATAAAAAGGAGAGAAAGCTGCGGCGTTGGCGGTGTGTAACCCGTAGCGGAGCGCGGCCGCTGGGGACGGATTTTTTTATACCTTTGATCTCCGTCAGGCCAATAGCCAAGAACGCGTCCAGGCTTCTTGTCTAGCAGGGTACTTCCAGTCTTTCAAATCGGACTGGGTTTTTTTCTCTCTATTCGCGGTGTGGGCGCTGGTTAGGGCTTTTTATTATTATTTTCGGATCCGCGGGCAGGCTGTAATGTGAAAGCAATGGGTGGAGAAGTTCAGTATCTGCAGGGGATGCCGGTGGCTCGAAGCAGGCTGGCATCGTGGTGCACCGTAATTATTTGTGAAACTCCTTTAGAAGGAGGAGGAGGTATTCAGGCGCTGGTGAAGGAAAACCATACCAGAATTTCAAAGATGTGGCCTGAGGTAACCAGCTAGCTGTAATTTATTTTCGAGAGCGAGAATAATGTGAATTGCAGTTTTCTTAAAAAAAAAAAAAAAAAGTGCAGAGGAAGGCGAAAATACTGTTCCTCTGTGTACAAAGATATCAAATGTTTGTGAAGTGCATTGGTTTGGGAGATGGTGGAAATGGTGTTGGCTTCGCCTTGGTTAGATAACAATGGGCCCAATCCTTCTGCCCCCACACTATTTCAAATGATTTCACCCATGGGAGCAATGCTGGTGAGATGGTGTAGCTGATTTCGAAGGGCTTTCCCTGTTACTCACTTTCCTTTTAGGAAGCACGCTGTCCTGTGTGCTCCAGTCTGCCCTGATACCGTGCTGAGAGACCAACAGATGCTCTGAGCCCCAACTCAGTCATCCTTGCCAGTTCTTGGAAAATATGGATAGTACTGACTGAGCCAATGGGACCTTTTGCCGAGCACAGAGGTGTCTCTGCGTGAACAGGCAGCTGCAGAATAGGACTTTTACATGATAGAAAACTCCTGGAAAGCATTAATGAAGCCACCTAGCAAATGGGTTTAGTGGTATCTTTCCAGGGAGGTTGCAGGGGAATATTTCAGTAATGATGAGCAGTGTGAGTGCTTGCTTCATGGTGTCCCTGCTGCTACTTTTCTGACTGCTGCTCTCTAATTTCTGTTTCTCCAGTAAATGCAAACCTATAAGACTGCTGGTAGGAGGGGTCTGACTGTGGACCTGAACTTATACAATAACTGCTGTCCTTTGCTGCTAGGAAATTTATTTGTAAACAAGAATTATTTGACAAGTGCTTCTCACAGCATGTCTCCTTTGCCAATTGCTACAGAACAGCTCCACGACTGGGAACTGCTCACCCTGCAGTACGTGGAGCCCGATGCATGAGAAACCTCGCACACTGATGTCCACCAGCCTAGCTGTGTGCCGCTGACACTTGTCACTGGTTTGCGTTTGAGAAGTTCAGTTTGGCTGCTTCTGGGCTCTGATGAGATTCTCCCCTGGGGTTAGTTGTTCAGCTGGTTAGGAACTTTACTTTTGCTCAGATGGAGGTAGCCATCTTAGACTGGTGAATAATATTTTCAAAAGTTGGTGATATTGCACTTTTTTTATTTTGTTATCATTCATTGTACTCACTGTGGTTAAACAACTAGCCAATACCCTGTGCTGTGTAGGTGTGTAACTGGTGTGTAGTTGTATAGAGGATGACAAATTCTCAGAATTTTTTTTTCTGTAACCCTGAATCACATTTTTTGTTTCTCTAAATCTTATTGTAATCCACAGTGACTTCATGGGATAAGATATATGCAGTTAACAGTTCACAGTATGTGATGTTCTGTTTTACCCTCTAGTAGAGGAACACTTAGGGGAAAATGCTTTAAAAATCTAGGTTAAGATTTGGGGGGGGGTGTAAAGCTAGTGGCAAGGGCCACTGAATTTCAGGAACTCCTGCCATTTTTATGGAGAAGTATTGAGGGCCCAGCCTATATCTGGTCACCTTCATAGATATTTTCAGTAATGTATTGAAGGATATACATTGGGAAAACTGAATTAATTTTTTCTCCAGATTATTCTGTAATAGCTACATAATACAGATTTTATTTTAATCACCTTTCCTCAGTTTATATGTTAAAAGAAAAATATTTAGTGACAGATGAAGGCTCAGTGCTATTTCATGCATTTTCAAGTGTTATTTAGCTGTTATTTTTAACTCTTTAGCAGTGTTCATTGATTAGAAGCAGATATTTCCTTTTTTTCTTTGACTACAATTACAAATTCAGAAATTCATCAGAAAGAAAATATTCCAAAGAGTACACTGAAAGTATAGCACAATTTTGTGAAGTGCTGGTATTCCAGAAGTGCATTATTATTTTAAAATGCATTCCCTATGATAATAGGGTGCGAAAGGCAGCCCTGCAGTATGTGACTGGGCTTCCTGCACTGCCTTTAGTTTAAAAATGCATGTGTTTTAAATCTTTCTGTTGTAAGTACTAGGGTTTGGGAAGTGGCTTATGTAAATTATTTATGTGAAACACAATGAATGAAGGATTTGTTTAAAGACTCCCCCCTTCACCCTAAACCATACGATTTGTTACACATCGCCTGTGTATTTGGAGTGGCTTGCAGATTGTGTTTGGTCGTCACTCAGATGACCTTAAAAAGTGTCGTGTGGGCAAATTATTAAAATAATGGAGCATGTTATATCTGATTGCTTATCACAAAGTAACTCCACAACATATTTGCATAATTGTAATTAAATCAAAGTATATTTCATTTTAGGGCTTTTCAGGAGAAGTGTTGATGAGGCAGCGCTTAGCAATGAAGTGTACTGTTAAGAATAGTACATTCAAAAGAAATGCCGTTTTAAAGAATGACATTGACTTATTTAGACAAAGGTGAGAAACACAAAATGGGTCTTTGTAATGTGTTGAATTTGTTTTAAGACTAGAGGGATGTTCTTTTTGTTACAAACTCCTGCATTTGATCCTTTCTCTCTTAATTCTTCCAGGGCTTTTTGAAGCTCGCTTTATCTCAGTGTATCATTTTTCATTTGAATGAATGAATAAATTAGTACAATTAAAGGGGTGGGTCTGGTGCTGGCAAAAATAAAGGAAGATTGTAATTTGCAAATTACTCATGCCAGAGCTTGAAATGAGCCTACCTGTTCTCAGTGTGTAGACTTGTGTGTGTGTTGTTTTATAGTGGTATATAATTTCTGTGTCATGACACACTGGATAAATGCATATTTAGGTATAACATCACAATGTTTATCTTTAATCAGTGAATGAAGTCTTTTTCAGGAAGTTTTTTTTATGTAGTAGAAGCAGGTGTGAAAATAGGCTTAATTTTCATATCAATGTATTTCAATTAGTCTAATGCTTTGGGTAAAAATACACACGATCAGAACATTCTGCTTATTAGGTTGCTCTTAGTAGCTTGGCTTAGTGTGTCATGCATTCACACAGCTAGCGTATTTTGTGTAATTCTGTAGGTATTAAGTGCTGCTAGGGTGCCTATACCTTGTGTATGCAGAACAGGTAAGTCTGGACGCATATCAGTGTGCTCACAGTTCTTTAAGGAGGCTTTAAGGAGTTATCAGTTCTTTCTTTGGTGTGTTGGAATAGTTCCCTGTGTGCTTTCCGTGACAGCAGAGCATAGCCTCAGTGTCATGGGTTTATTTTACTCACTGGAGTAATCCCATTAATTTTAAAATTTACTGCGGTGGAATTACTGGTATGAGGAAGGACAGCTCATATCTAATGGTCTTTTTGGGATCTGTCTTGTGTGTGATGTATGGCTTTTCAAGAGGTTTAAAATGACTCAATCATGGCTTTAAATGGAACTGCTATCCTTTTGACAGTAAAACATTTGAAACTCAGCACTTTTAAGTCTATGACTAAAAGCATTGCTGCCTAATGACACATTTAAAAAAAGGGAAATAAACAATAGCAAAGATTGACTCCAAAATAGTGCCTATTCCCTTTTAAAGCCTATCTTAAAAATTGTGATAAATACTAGAAGACAGGCAAAAAACAGTAACTGACTGTCTGCTTATAATATGGTAAATGTTGACAATGTAATGTGATACGTAAAGCAGCTATTTGCACATCAATATACAGATGAGTAAACTGGCAGGTACCATGGGAGGAAGGGAAGAGTTAGTAGGTTTGTGTGACAGTTTCTTCCCCTTCCACTGTTAACTCTTCCACCATTACGTCACTTGGTCGCCTGTTCTCTTTCTGTTAAATAAGAAAACAGAATCTTGCCCATGAAGAAGCATTTATTCTTTGCATTAAAAAATACCCGGTGTTTTGCAGCAGGATTATGGGGGGTAGGGCGGTGGGCATCACGGTAAGAGCAGGATTTCATAAAATCTAGCAGAAATTGCAAAGGTGGGACAGAGCACAGAGCATTCGACCCAGGAAAGTCCAGCTGAGTTAGCTCAGCTGAGCAATGATGTTGCACCCTGTTTCCTTTAGGGTCTTCAGATGTGGGTCTGTTAGATTCCCCCAGTCTTTCTGACTTGGAGCTAC